TAGAATAGAATAGAATAGAATAGAATAGAATAGAATAGAATAGAATAATAAAATATAGATAAAATATAGAATTAGAATAGAATAGAATGTGAATAGAATAGAATAGAATAATAAAATATAGCATTAGAATAGAATAGAATAGAATATTAAAATATAGATAAAATATAGAATTAGAATAGAATAGAACGTGAATAGAATAGAATGAATAATAAAATATAGCATTAGAATAGAATAGAATAGAATAGAATAATAAAATATAGATAAAATATAGAATTAGAATAGAATAGAATGTGAATAGAATAGGATAGAATAATAAAATATAGCATTAGAATAGAATAGAATAATAAAATATAGATAAAATATAGAATTAGAATAGAATAGAACGTGAATAGAATAGAATGAATAATAAAATATAGCATTAGAATAGAATAGAATAGAATAGAATAGAATAGAATAGAATAGAATAGAATAGAATAGAATAGAATAGAATAGAATAGAATTGTTTTTTCTGCAGTCCTAATTCCTCTCTGGAGTCTGTGTCTGTCCTGTTGGGTTGCAGAACCAAACCAGGCAGTGATAGAGGTGCAGATGACAGGCTCAATAATTCCTCTGTAGAACTGGATCAGCAGCTCCTTGGGCGGTTTGAGCTTAAAAAAATGAAAGGGAGGATTTGTAGGTCAGGGTTAAAGAGTGAGAATCGGAGGAGGAGGAGGAGGAGGACCGGGGAGGGGTTGGGATCCTGGGTGCTCTCTGAGCTGGGTGGTTTTCTTGAAGACGTTTCGCGACCCAACTTGGGAACCTCATCAGTGCTAGAAGGGAGTGGGGTTTGTGGAGAGGAGTGGGAGGAGGACTTTGGGGTCCTTGGTGCTTTCTGAGCTTCGTGGTTTTCTTGCAGACGTTTCATGACCAGCTTGGTAACACTGTGAGTGCTAGGAGGGGGTGGAGTTTGCAAAGAAGAAGGGAGGAGGAGGAAGAAGAAGAAGAAGAAAAAAGGACTGGGGGAATCCTTGTGTTCTCTGAGTTTGGTGATTTTCTTGCTTCATGACCCAGCTAGTAACATAACATCATCAGTGCTACAAGGGAATGGAGTTTGCAGAGAAAAAGAAGGAAGGAGGAGGAGGAAGAGGACGGTGGGGTCCTTGGTGCTCTCTGGGCTTGGTTTTCTTGTAGACGTTTCATGGCCCAACTAGGGAATGTCATCAGTGCTAGAAGAGAATGGGGTTTGCTCTCTGTTTACACACCGTGGCATGCCCTGTCTGTGTTGGTGGCAGCGTTGTTGTTTTTTTCCTGGCAATTCCTTCATTAGGGTGTTGTGACCGTTTGTTTGGCTGTGTTGGTTGCTCCTTGATTGGGAAATTGTTTACTTCTTGATTGTTGGTCTAATATTAATTTTGGTGTTAACCCTTGCTTACCCTGGGTTTTGATTGCCGGTAAGGAGGTATTTTGGTCTTTTGGATTCCTAAAGGGAACAAACTACTAAATCAGACAATCAGTGGTGAGAGCAAACCCCACTCCCTTCTAGCACTGATGATGTCCCCTAGTTGGGTGAGGAAACGTTTTCTAACCACCAAGTTCACAGAGCTATAAGGACCACCCTCCTCCTCTTTCTCCTCCTTCTCCTTCTCCTTCTCCTTCTCCTCCTCCTCCTCCTCCTCTTCCTCCTCCTCCTCCTTCTCCTCCTTCTCCCCCTTCCCCTTTCCCTCCCTCCTCCTCTTCCTGTTCTTCTTCTTCCTCCTCCTCTTCTTCCTTCTCCCCCTTCCCCTCCCTCCCTCCTCTTCCTGTTCTTCTTCTTCCTCCTCTTCTTCCTCCTCCTCCTCTTCCTCTTCTTCCTTCTCCCCCTTCCCCTTCCCCTCCCTCCCTCCTCTTCCTGTTCTTCTTCCTCCTCCTCTTCTTCTTCCTCCTCCTCCTCCTCCTCCTCCTCCTCCTCCTCCTCCTCCTCCTCTTCTTCCTCCTCTTCCTCTTGCTGTTCCTCTTCTCCTACTCCCTCCCATTCCCCCTCCAACCTCCCTCCCTTCTAGCTGGGTGAGGAAACGTTTTCTAACCATCCAGCTCAGAGAACAGTAAGGACCCCAGTCATCGTCTTCTTCTTCCTCCTTCCCCCTTCCTCCTTTTTCCTCTTCCTCTTCCCCTCCCCCTCCTCTCTGCAAACCCTTCTAGCACTGATGATGTGCCCTAGTTGGGTCATGAAAAGCCTGCAAAAAAAGCTACCAAGCTTACAGAGCAGTAAGAAACACCCCCCCCCCCCCCCCCCTTCTCCCCCTAAGGAGCCCACCATGCGTATATATACGTGATAAAGTGAATTGCAGCCCAGGAAGGTTTGTGCTCAATCCCAGACATTCCTCTAAAAGCTGAAACGGTGCTTTGCAGCAAGAGATGAACTCATGGCCGTCGTAGACACAGTTGGCGGTTCCAGCCCTCGCCTCTCCCTCTTTTCCAAATGAGCTGCTAAAGGGGAAACCACAGTGCCCGGGGATCGCGTTGCCTCATTTCCTCTCTCCTTGTCCCAAGGCAACTACCATCTGTGGGGCTGCCAAAATTCTTAGTTCGTAGTAGTGAGTTGTATAAAATACCTCTTTCTGGCCAGACCCTGGCAGACCCTGCCAGCAAGAAGCAGAAATAGGGGGTCTCATCTCATGTCGGGGATGCGGGAACTAGAAAGGGGGAAGCGATTAATTTGCATTTTAAAAAAGATTAAAAATTTGAATTTAAAAAACAAACAAACACAAATTTATATAGTTCTAGCCCAATGCTGGGCCACATTATCCCCTTGAAAGCCTTACCAGGTCTGGGGCCAAGTTATATGAAGGACTGTCTTTTTCCCCAGTTATATCATCTATCTACCTATCTATCTATCTATCTATCATCTATCTACTCTATCTACTCTATCTATCTATCTATCTATCTATCTATCTATCTATCTATCTATCTATCTATCATCTATCTATCTATCTATCTATCATCT